GACACTTCTTAAAGATAGATATCTCATTTCTCATCATTTATTCTTCTGGGACCAGCACTGTGTTGAGAGCTGGGTTACACCATCTAATTGTTTAGGGGATATTGAGTGGCCTTCTTTTGGAGCTTCCTGTCTGCTGATGGGAAGCAGCAAATGAATTGTTTTGTTTTGTGCCCGTAGGTGGCTTTTTCTTCACCTGTCAAACTAACTTTACCTCAATCTATGAGTTTTCTCACTTTCACCCTTACGATTCTCTCCCCCATTCCACCACTGGGGAGTGAACATGCAGCTGTGTGGGGTTTAGTTCCTGGCTGTGGTTAAACCACAACAGGTGATAAGAACTCTTGCTAGATGAAATGTTTGGGCTATAGCAGCAACTACAGCCCAGCTTTGTGGTGAAAATCAACAGTAAAACAAGAGCCATGTTTACTATTAGATCGCTAATACTTGTTGTTTGTATTTTGTTGGTTACAATTTGATTGTTTACACATGGGAAATTTCCCTCCCCCCCTTTTTAAAATGGCGTGTCACTGGTGTGTGTTTTACCTACAAACCACTTCTGATTTTGGAAAAAGATATCAGCTTTCAGATATAGACATGTAAATTTCTAAGTTTCCATGCTCCTTTAACTCAGTGGAGAGCATGCTCCTGTCACTCAACCCTTGAAGGGGAAGATTTGTCAGGTAGGTAATAAAATTAAATATTTCATTTTCTTTCTTTTTCTTTGCCCCCTACCTCCACCTCCCCTTATGGTTTACATATTTGTTTTGTTTATGTATTTTCCTCAAATTCTGAACTTGATGGGTTTGACTGTTCAGTCCCTGATCATCATAGGTCCAAGTTTATCACTGCCCTTTATCTGCAACAGTGGAAGCACAATGGACAGTTAAAAGTAGAAATAGCATAGGCTGATTTAGCACCACAGAGAAGAAGGTTGGCAGAACAATTAAGAGAGATGAAAGTAAGCTTTAGAAAGCAATTGATGTTACTTTAAACATGTGATTGAAAGCTTATGTAAGAATAAAAGAAAAAAACTATGGAGAAAGACTGAAATTATTTAACATGTTATTGGTGGGAAAAAAAAAAAAGTGGGTATACAAATTTCTCTCCTCTACTCCAGTTTTCTTGTCATTCTTGAGAGCATTCAAGTCCTCACACTCTGAAGAAGCTGAAGTAAACCCAAGCATTTAAAATGTTGTCAGGATATTTCTTTACCTCAGAAAGAGGGGAAAATATTTGTTTTATTCATGCTTGAAGACAATACAAGCCACATTTTCCTTTTGGTAAAATTTGTTTAGTGCACCTTTTTAAATAAACAAAACAGCTGGTGCTATATATTGTTGTGTGCCAGAAACTCCAGGCTTATTGTTCAAATAATGATTGATCCACTACAGTATCTGGGTGTAATACAACAGCCCTGTGCGTTCTCTCATTTAAACATCTAATAGAAAAAAAAAAAAAAAAAAAAAAAGAAGAAGAAGAAATACTAAAAATCACAAAACATTTTCAATTTCCTCTACTGTTTCAGTATTATTTTATACAAATTGCAAAAACAGAGGTAAAAGGTTACACTAACAACTTGGTTACCTGTGGAGATTGGAAGAGTATATGAAGGAGATAACAAAGTGAGAGTTAGCCAGGGAAATGCAAAACAGTAGGAGAGAGATAACAAAAAGAGAGATATGTAAAAGGCAAGAGAGTCTAGAAAATTATCTACAACAGTGAAAAACAGTATAGCATACATACTCAAGCAGCTGCAGCAGAGTATAAGACATCAGCCAAAAAAAGCCCATGGAAATTTGGGTTGCAAATGAGGAATCACACAACAGTTGAAGGACCACAAAAAAAGAGATTCCTCTCTGTAGTCAGCAAAACACGTAATGTACAAAATGGGGCAGCTCAATAAAAAAAATACTTAAAAGAAATTGAATAAAATTCAGAGGGCAGAAACTTGGAAAAAAAAAGACATTTATGATATTAGCTGTATATGATCTTTCTATTATCTCTTATTCAGAACAATTTTTTTTTCCGTGATTATTGTCTAATATCTATTTCCCATACACCTTGCTATTCACAAGAAAATGTTGTCATCACACATTAGGAAATAAAGGGAATATTAAAGTTAAATAGTTTTGATTTCAAAATATATTGTTTTGGTTATAGGTCATTCTAGACATCAAGAGGTAGTTTTCTTGTCTTCTTGTATTTCTAAACTATTCCGATACAAATATACCAGACGTATTTTCTGTTAATATGGTTGCTATGCTGAGTTGCAAGGGACCCGCAAGAATCATTAAGTCCAGCACTTAGGGCTGCACACGAGGGCTTGCACTATCCCCAAGATTGACACTGTGTGCCTGAGAGCATTGTCCAAATGCTTGTTGAACTCTGTCAGACTTGGTGCTGTGATCACTTCCCTGGGCAGTCTTTTCCAATATCCAGCCATTCTCCGGGTGAAGAATCTTTTTCTAATATCCAACCTAAACCTCTCCTAACAACTTAACTGGTCCTGTCACTGGTCAAGACATAAAAGAGATCAGTGTCTGCCCCTCCTCTTTCCCTCACAAGGAAGTTGTAACTACAATGAGGTCTCCCTTCACTTTCTTCTTCTCCAGGCTGAACAGACCAAGTCACCTCAGGTGCTCCCCATACAGCTTCCCCTCAAGGCCTTCACCATCTTTGTTGCCCTTCTTTAGGCATTCTCTAATAACTTAATATATTTGTGATATTGTGGTGCCCAAAACTGCACAATATTCAAGGTGAGGCCTCACCAGTGCAGAGCAGAGTGGGACAATCCCCTCCCTTGACCAGCTGGTGATGCTTTGCCTGATGGCTCCCAGGACACGGTTGGCCCTCCTGGCTGCCAGGGCACTGCTGACTCATATTCAACTTGCCATCAACCAGGACCCCCAGGTCCCTCTCCATGGCACTGCTTTCCAATATCTCATTCCCCAGTCTGTACAAATATGTGTAAGGGGTTTAAAGTATGCATAAGACATAAAAATGATGGGAAATATTTTTATATTCTAAAGTATCATAAGAAATTCCTATAATAGTGAATGTGGATTCCCCATCCCTGGTAGGGTTCAAGGCCAGGTAGGATTAGGCTCTGAGCACTCTGGTCTAGTCAAAGATGTCCCTGCCCCCAACAGGGTGATTGGAACTAGATGATCTTCAAACTCTCATCTATAGCAAGCCACCCTATGATTCTGTGATAATAAAGAGAAAACAATAACATTGAGATTTGTGATATTCAAAGGGAGTGTAAGTGAGACTACCCAAAACTTAGGAGGGAGCATGTGGGGGAGGGGGATGGGAAGAAACAAAGGGGTAAAGGGCAGACAAGGCTGTGTTTAGGAGAATCTGGCTTGTGCAAACTGTGACCAGCCTGCAGGTTTGTCTGACCCAGTCCTGAGCCTTATGTCCATAGCCTGGTCTGTCTTCTCCTTATATCCTGTGGTACCTCTCCATGCCCCTTCTCACTCAATGTCCCTTGCAAATGTGAGTGCTGTAGGGATGAGATGGCAGCTTCTGGAGAAAGTGTGAGTGGATTTGGGGTTGAAGACCAGCAACAGCCGAGAGTGCAAGTACTCTGGGCCAGTGGTGTCAATAGCCCGTGGTGTGCAAGGGGAGTGAGAGTCTCCACATTTGGCAGCTGGAGCAGGGCAGCAGACACAGCCTGACTGACTGGTGTTGACTGTGCTGTGGTATGACCATCTGTATCATCCTGAAAACAGATGGTGGAGGGAGTCTATATGTGTCAGTTGCAGCAAACTCCATGCTAGATCTGCTGGTAAGCAGGAGGTCCCAGGTCTGGACAGGGGCACAAGACAGGCAGAGATCCAGCCACTTACAAAATCCCTCAGCAGAAAATGTGACTGTAGTTGTCTCTTTATTATTAGTTGTATCTATTATTATTACCTTTGAAAATTATCATTTGGAGGAGTGGGAGTAAAAAACAGTCTATGTAAAATATTAATGTTAATCCCTTTTATTCGAGCACTTTAGGGGAAGTCATTCATACTTTTGTGTTTTTTGAAGTTATCTTTATGTGATTTATTAGTTTACATTCCAAATATTTTGAACACTAGTGGATTTCAAAAGCTCAAATGCATTACTAATTTTACTTTTCCATTTCCTCAGGTAATTTTAGATATTTCAAAGTCAGTAGTAACCAGTTTAATTTATTCCCAAACTCTTGCCACACAGAATATTTTTTTAACATTATTTTACTTATATACTAGCTTTTTACAGAGGAATTATTTTAAATTTCTAGTCATGAAAAAATGAAAGCAGGAGCCCAGAGACCATTCAAGTTTCTTCTAGAACAACTATTTCAGCGCGCTTGTAGCAAGTGTGGGTAGAGCCCTTCTCAAATCTTCGTTCGCGAAGCCTAGCCATGATGATGATGATGATAACAACTATTAGAAATATGTCCCATTTGCCAAGTGATCTGGCAGCAATTACATCCTAATCTTGCATTGTTTGAGTAAATCCCTTGAATTCTCTGACTGAGCCTTTGCTCACATGAATCTGTTCAATACCTGAGGGACTGAGAATTATAGCTTAGTAGATTCTTAGATGTCTCCCCATATTAAGTAACACTAAATAATACTTTGAGTGATCTGATGAACTAATTCTTTCTGAAGTCTTCCCATTTCATCAAAGCAGCACATCCAAAGCCATATCTGCTTTTATCCTTGCACAAATTCCAAGACCAAAACTCCACAGATGTAATTCCTTCTAACAATTCCTTTTCTGACATTTGTTTCTACAAAGAACCATAACAGGAAATCAGAACATGTATGTATTCCTGCATTAACTAATTTTTTTACTGGATCAAACAGACCTGTGTGTTTTTTATCCAGCATTTATTTCTCCTCAATCTATTCTTTTTGCAAAGGTTCACTAATGTTTTGATTCCCACAACATGCATACTGCAAGCATATTAGTATAAATAAAGATCTCGTCCTCACTTACGGTTGTTTACACAATGTACTTACTGTTTTGGGGAAAAAATGGAATGCAGGTTTTTGATCCAGAGGTTCCTGGAATCTGAGATACAGGCAAGATTGTTATTGAATATTTTTTACTAAGTAGGTTTCTCTCTTGTAGCTGGATTCAGAATCGAATGATTTGTCTCTGTCTTCTGTATTTATCTCAGAAATGAAGCAAGATGAATACATAGATATCTTGAATCTGGAACAGATAAACCAGCTTGTTTTAAAAGGCTTATATCTATGTCAATAAAATTATGAAACACACCTGAAATAGTGTTCTGCTGAAGGACAGTGAGAACTGGGTTATTTAACCACTCTCTCTAGATTCCTAAAAAATTAGATAGTCACCTTAGATTCCCTTTAAAGTCAACATGAGGAACTAAAAAATTATTAAAGGAAATACTCTCTAAGATTATATGTACATATTTCATAATGAGAAGAATGGTTTCCTGGAAACAGTAATTTCTTTCTACTAAATACTCAGGGAGTCTATATGATGATTAACATATATACAGCATGTTTAGCCTCTTAGGTTAGGAGTACATTTTCAAAGGAATTGAGCCTTTAGTATATTATCTTAAACTATTCATTATCATTTCTGTACTCTCTAGTGTTGACATTCTTTATTGACATGAACTCTATAACTTTTTTAATGGTTCTCTTATTCAAAAACCTTAACTTTAGTAACCAAAGCATCTAATGTTTACTCTTTGAAAAAATACTTAGTATAAAATATATATTAAATGTTATATTTAGTAAGAGTTTCCTTCAGTAGACTTCTTTAAACAACATTTGTTCATCCACTATCTCAAGGAACAAATTAGTCCTCTCCTTTCCAGTCTCAAAAAATAACATCAATATAACTATTTCACTTCTTACGAACCTAGAGGCATGTAAGGTTCACAATATATTTATGCTTCATTCCGTTAATGTAATTAAAATGTTAATAAAATCTCACTCAAAACAATCTGTCAGAGAAAGAAACACTGATTTAATTTTCATGGAGTACTCTGTAGGCTGCTAATCTTCCATTCTAGCAATAAAGTAAAGAATATGCATTAGAAGGCTGCAATGCTGGTGGATTTATCCACCCACAAAAACCTCAAGCACCTCCTGATGTGCATTTTAATAAGCTTTCCTATATGCCCTTTTGTTTTGCTTCTTTTATTATAATATCACATTTTTGAGGTACAGCCAAATATGCTACTTAGTATTGATAACAGAAATACATAGAGAAAATAAATATTGAGCATGAGGCATTATGATTTGATGTGTTTTCCCCAACAAAAGAAATAGGGTGAAGAATTTACTGGACTGCTCTTGTTTTTCCTGGTTGGCTAGTTGGCTTTGGGATGGAGTGTTTTTATGTTTGTTTTTTTGGGGGGGCCTTTTTTTTGTGTATCCTGGATTTGAAATTGTTCAGCTAAGTTGATGACCTCCAGATGTGGGATTTTCATCTCCTAGAGACTTTAAACATGACCACATGGTTACTTAAAAAATGACAGGAATTTAAAAAAGAAGCAGCGTTTGCTTTCAATAAGAAGCATACCAGGAAAAACGGAGGACAATGATGTCAGAAAAGGAGGAAAGAAAAGAGACAGGATCACCAGACACAGAGTTACTTTATAACTCTCACAGCAAATTTTAATCTTGAAGTGAGGAAAATGTCAGGTTAAAACTTCAGCTTCATGAAAAATAAACAATTCACTAAAGGAGAAAAAATGTAAGGGACTGGAAGAAAGTAAGACTTTTTTTTTTTTTTTCCGTGCAGTTTTATACTTCTTGGGTTTCATCTGTATCTAGTCATATCAAGAATAAAGAATATTATAACTGGGTTCCTAGTCTTAGGAAAGACATCTTCCAGTTTGTCACTTGAATAAACTCTCTTACACCTGCAGGAGGCATATTGTAATCACAAATACCTAAACGCTGGAAGTTATGCTCGTGTTTGGACTGGAAACCTCAGGTTACTAGAAGTGGTACCAAATAAAGACTCTGAATGTAGTAGCTGGATTCTGTTCAGAATCAATATTGGGGTTTTGTTTTGCTTAGCTTTTTCACTCAACATTTAGTATCAAGAAGTTTAATTCAAGAAAAGTAACTCAGTGTGAATCCAGCAAAAGGCTGTAACAAATAAGAAATCAAACACCAATTTACCTGACTGGTAAATTCTTTTCCCCCTCCTTGTATTTTTTTCATTTTTACTGAAAAACTCACCACTTCCCTTCCCTTCATCACTGCCCATCTCACTTGTGCACAATTGTCTTCCAAGGAAAATCAATATCCTTCTCTCTGTGTGGCTTCTATGACATTTTCCCTCTGCAGATGAAAAATTGTGTGTAAATATTTTGGCTTCCTAGATTCAGAGATAGGAATGTCATGTGTTAGGACTACCTGTCAACATTTGTAAGGACAATACTGAAAAAAAGATTATTCCTTATAAGTGGAAAAAAAAAAAAAAAAAAAACCAGCACAAATTGGAGGACTTATGACAAAAATATCACTGTTTCAAAAATGCATTTTTAATATAATTTCTGAAATCAAGTCAGATTTCTCCTGATTCTGGTGCTTGAGTAGTTAATCTCTGCAGCAATAAAAAAATAATTTTGATTATTTGTAAAAAAATGGTCATTTGACCCTGCACCGTGCTTTCTAGTTGAACTTTGTGATTCTGTGCCAACTCATTTTCATTGTAAAACTTGGGTACATAGAAGAAAACAAATACTGTCTTTGTAAGCACACATAATTCTTTCTATGTAAATGTTATGCAGTGCTCCTACTATTCTTAGTTTATTTCTTCAGTGAAGTGTTGTAGGACCCAACAAATTGTGAACTGCTTTGACAGTGTGGATTTAAAGACCTTCATATTGCTGACTCTCTAGGTATAACTGGGAGGGTACTTCAGCAAAAAAAAAAAAAGTGTTGGGTTTGTTTTTTTCTACATTGCCCTTGTTTTCATGCATATATTCCAGCATTCTACAGTTTTTTTCTTCACCTTGAGAGAGCAAAATAAACAAAGCAAAAGCTTTTTCACCAGTGATTATCATCAGAAATTTCTCAAAAGACTTTAAGTGAGAATTTATTTTATAGACACACCAACTGATTTTTTAAGGGAGTCCAGTACAAGACTTGTCTTTTCTGTAAGTTTAGAAGGCAGAACAAACCTGATATATTTTACAGTTCTTGGAAATTTACCTGCTGTGTCCAGCATTTCCCTTTTTTGCTCCATATTAAACTCTGCAAGAGATCTTTTCGCACCCAAAACAAATGATCCTTAAAAACATGACAAACGGTCAATTACTCACTCTTATACTTTTCCCTTTAAACCTTTCTAAAGAAATTTGGTATGACCTGCCATCCTTTTTCATAGTACCTCTGCCTGTACAACAGAGAAAGTATTTAGCCCCCATCTAATGGAAAATGGAAATGGAAACTGCTGTTTGCACATGAAGGGAAAGGAGTTTGGGGAACCCCTTCACATTCTATTTTCCTTTTCAATGATTGAAGATTGAACTTTCTTGGTCAAGAATGACTGAACTCCATTTCACAGAATCATGTGGGTTGGAAAGAGACCAATCACCAAGCACATTCCTTGAATGCCATGATTGCCAATTGTCAAAGATGATGGCTTCCCAATGTCATTATCCAGACCGTGCAGCACTTTGAGTATCCCACTTCAGGTCCCACGAACTTTTGTATGGTTTGTGATGTATGACTCATAACTGCTTAAGTGCTCCTTATCTATATCTACCTCCCCAAATGGGTTTATCCATCGTGTTTTCATTTGTTTCACTGAAGCCTTAGTTCTCCATATTCATATACAGCTCATACATATCCATATGGAAGGAAACAAATTTCTATGACTGAGTAGAACTCCTTTATTTTAGTGTCATGTTTGCTAAATCAGGTATCATTAAATGTTTTCTATTAAGCTTACAGAAGACTGAATTTTATTAATAACCTGGGATGCTAAACCATTTGTCAGAAGAACATTAATTTTCAGGTTTGCTTGTTCCAGAAGTGAGGATATCATGTTTTATCTGGAAACACAGATTTTGGTCTTCTTGCTCTTCTTTATGTTCTTTAGACTCTTATGTAGGTTTGGTGACCAGTATTTATAAACTGGAAATTCTCCAGTATTCTCTAATATCAGAAGACTTTGTTTAAGGAAATTATACTTTAAGTATTAGATCTTAAAATGTTGCCTACCCTTATAAATTCATCAGGTTCTGAGCCCTAAAAAGTGTTATCTAACACTATTAACACATTTTTACCATGAAATACTTACTAATGTAGTAACTGAGAATGCCAAAATACATGAGAAGGTAATTGCATTGAATTGCTTATATCAATCTGTTTATTTTTAGGAAAATAATGGGGGGTTGGTCATATTTTGAGTTCAGAAAATTAGAAAATTTAGGTTTTGTTTCTGATTACTCTGATTTGATTGGTAATAAATTAAACTAATTTTCCAAAGTTGAGTCAGTTTTGCCTGTGACAGTAGCTGGTGAGTGACCTGTCCTCATTTCAGCCCACCAGCCTTTCATTATATGTTCTCTTCCCTGTCCAGCTGAGGAGGTAGTGGTAGAATTGCTTTGGCAGGCACCTGATGTCCAGCCAGGGTTAACTCATCACAGATCACATGTTCTTCAGCTTTAGCTTCTCTATATTTTTCCCCAGGAGACCTTCTGGAGTTATGTGTCTTTTTTCTTCATCTTTTTATGTCACCTAGCAGCTACCCTTAACTTTTGTTCATTTAGGATGTGATGGCATGGTAGCAAAGTGATGACTTCTCTGGAGAACTAGCTACACAGATATTTCTCCATAAATAGACACTGTAATAAAAGGTCGGAGGTTTTTTCCTTACGTTTTGGGTGTAGATTTTTTTTTTTTTTAAGTGGGGTTGGGTTTTTGTTTCATTGTTTCCCTTCAGAACTAAACCTGTACTAGATTTTGTGTTGTTTTTTGGAAAATATTCTTTTACTATGTCTTCAAACTGGTAACATCTAGATTTCTTTAAAGATTTAAAAAATTGTTTACTAGCTTAAGAAATAAACCTCAAATACATTAATCTTAAACCAATTGCTTTTTAATCTATTTGTGCTTATGGTACTTCATTTTCCTCTTGTGCTTAATTATTACTCACAGATTTATTTAACTGGGCTTTGAAATTATTTGCCTAGGAAGATGTAATTTTACTTTTCTTTTATGTGGTTTACTACACACGTGATTTATACTTCATTTGCTCTGATGATAGCAAGAAAGCTTTCATATTACCGATATTACATTAGAGAACTATCATGACTGTCTATCAGCACACCCCCTTGAAACAGACTTTTATGCCTCTTTTAAGGTTAGCAATACTATAGATCTGCAAGGATTATTAATAAACTTACAACTGGCTTTAAACCTACAAAGTGCTGTATATATCATAGCTTACCATCACTGTACCCATGGGAACAGGTTGATGATCTGGAGAAAATGGCTACCCATCTCAAAAAATAATAATTTGTGGGAAAAAAAGTGCCTTCCAGTCAAAATCCACAAAGTTATTGTTTTCTGAAACTATTTCATTTTGTTTACTTTATATTTCTATAAAAAGTGCTTATTTAAAATCTAAAAAGAATAAGCAAAATGTTGGATGATAATGGTTTGCAAATAGTATTAATATATTTTTCACTCTTCAAGCTATCGGATCTTCTTCAGTGAGTTGGACTGAAGCTGGATGATACACACTGATTACAGGCTGGGAAATCACCGTTCAGAAAGAACCTGAATTCAAGAGACATTTTTAGTTAGTAAAACACTGGGACCATGCTCAAGAATTCATGCTGTACTAAACTGAAGAGGCCCAAGAACTTGCCCAGTGGTTCCACTCTCCAAATACCAGTAAACTGCAGCCTCCTGGTATTACCTATTATATTATTTTAAAGTGCCAAGAGGTCTTGGTGTGAAGGACTCTATATTGAAAGATCATTAGTCAGCTTATATTCAGAAAAGAAATTGGTGTGCAACTCTCTTGATTAGTATCTGAATGTCTTCTGTGAATAAGCCTAAATATTCCATGCAAGAAAGAGAAAAAAAAAGGCCTACCCTCAAATAAAATAGATTGAGAAATATTTCTGTCATCAACTTACTGATTCCTATAAGAAAATTTTGTGAATTTTTTCCTTAAATATTTATGTAAAAAACCCAAATCAAGTGGAATATAACCTACAACAATTGTAATCTGGAAGAACTATTTTATGAATATCACTATGTTGCTATTCCTTGATGATTTTGAAACAGGACAGATTCAGACTTGAAATATAGTGAAGAATTTAAAAAATGGCAGCTATTAACCGTGTCAGGTATACATTATCACTATTGTATTATTGAATTTTGTACTGCACACCTATCAGTGGTAAATTTAATGTCAGGAACAAATATTTTTTCTGACATAATGTCACTGAAGGAAGATTTAATTCAGGGAATTGTTTTTGCCTCTTATACAAATCAGACAATCACAGAAACCACAGGTAAATTAAACACCAACAAATAAGAAAATTAATGTATTTGTATCTCAGAACAAAGTGCATATTCCCTTGTTAGAGTCAATAAAAGGCTTGTTCCAAAATTTATATTGTAAACAGATACTTATTTTAAAATATTTAGTTTGTAATCATCACACTGATATGTGAATGAAGAAGACAAAAAACCCCAAAATTCATTCGTTAGTAAAAATAAATTCCCTATCTCCAAACTATTATAAAAACATCTGTGTTTTATATATAGTGGAGATGACATTAAATAAAAGAAAAGCAATGATAAAAATGGGGTCAGTGAACCCCATCAAAGTGCAGATCTTCAAATAATGACTACAACAACACATCATTATAATTTTAGGCATAGAGCATTCAATGTTCCCCAAAGTCATTAGAAATTATAGTGTAATTGACTATTGCATATCTTTAGAAAGATATTAGTCTGACTCTTTAATGAAATCTGCATAAATTGTATTGCAAGAACATCCTAAGCTGCATGTTGTGATTTTAAAAATATAATCATAATTCTTTTCTGTTTTAAATGTAAGCAATTAATGGAATTTGCCCTTTTTCAGAACTCCTTAAAGAATTAATTTTATAAATGACCTCTGATAGAGGGTAATGTAAAAACCTATTACTTGCTACAGTTCACTTTCAGATATTCTTCTTCCAAGCCATAATTTTAGAGTACAAGAAGAAATCATTGGGAAGGTTTTTGTAAGACACTAGTGGCAGTAGCGAGCTCCACTTGTGCATTTGAAAAACTTCTTTCAATCCATTTTCCACTTAAGTCAT